ATGAAAACACAAAGAGAATAGTTGAGGTTTATACTCAAAGCTTCAAAATAGAGGAAATGAGGGACTTTCAAGGTCGCAAACTCACTCACCACTTCTACCAAGACAAGTGCACGAAAATAGAGTGGTCAAAGATGGTTCTTTTCTCCACCAAGAGTTTCCAAGCAATGAATAAAGATGGTTCAACCTCAAAAAACAAAGAGAAGTGTTTCAAATCTCCCAAGACAGCAACTATCTCCTTCCAAGCATGGGTTTTTCTCTCTCAAGACACTAGCTTTCAAGTGTTTATGGAGGTGAGATGGAAGAAAGGTGAGAAAAAGTGAAGTTTTGGCATAGTTTAATGGAAAAAAAGGCTTAAACTTTTATGAAGAAGAAGAGAGTGCAGGCATGATAGTAAGAGATGAGCTTCCTGTGGTTTAGACAAAAGAGAGAGATTGACTACAAAGTGAAGAAGATTCTTGTGTTAGTCATTTAAGTGGGTCCCACTACCTTAGGGGTTAATTATTCACTTAATCCACCCATTAATTATCTTCCTACATAACTTAGATGCTTTTATGGCCACATTAACTCTCTATCAAGTATGAATAATAATTACTAAATTATTTTTAGGTTTTTGGGTAATTTTGCCGGTACACATTTTTACCGCGAAATACATAGTATCCTTACTTTTCGCAGAAAGTGATTCAATTCTAAGTAATTAAAATTTCCTACTAATATTAACATAAACATTTTATTGTCAATTTAACTCCATAAATTTATGGAGTAATAATCACTAATTATCTTTATGTTTCGGGTAATTCTACCCACGACACACTTTTACCGCGAAACACTCATTAATTACCTTTTTTCTCAAAAAGGTGATTTAATTCAACTATTACATTTTTCATCTAATAATTTTTATTTAATTATTATTAAATTTATACAATTTTCATTTAACTGTGCCAGTTCTTACATTACAAATCTCAATTATGATATTTATTTTGGGAGATGGATGTCAAAATAACCTTTTTGAATGAAAACTTAGAAGATGATATCTACATGAAACAACCAAAAATGGTTTATAGCTAATGGGCAAGAATATACGGTATGCAAGTTAAGAAAGTCTATTTCATGGACTTAAGCAAGCATATAGGTCATGGAACATAAGTTTTGATTAGTTTATCAAAAAAAATTAATTTTGAGAAAACCTTGATGAATCATGTGTATTTGTATGTAAAGGATACAAGGATAAACAGTATTTTCTTCTAAATCTTTATGTAGATGATATGCTCCTTATTGGAAACAACATGGAGATATTGTGAGGCATAAAAAGTTGGTTGAGTAAGAGTTTTGATATGAAAGACTTGGGGAAGGCAATTATATTCTTGGTATTAAACTCTTATGAGACCAGAAGAATAAGTTATTGGCATCACCTTAGGCTACATTGACAAAACTCTTGCCAAAATTCAACATGGAGAACTCTAAGAGGGGAATCATATCTCCCAGATGTGAAATTCATATTACTAAGGAGTAACCTCTAAAGACTTCTGGGAAGGAAGAATGCATGAGTAGGATACCTTATGCTTTAATAATAAGTAGTCTCATATATACCGTATTATGAAATAAACCAAACACCTACCACACAGTGGGAGTAGTAAGTAGTGGGAGTTTTGAAAAGCAGAGCTTTCATAGATTCAATTTTTCAAGTAAATATTGACTCAAGAAAATCAACCTCGAGCTATAAAGTTTACATTGAACTAAGGAAACATCAGAGGTGGATATTGCAGACCCAGATACTAAGAGTTTGCCTGAACTTATGTTCAAGAGGCATATTACTTCTTTGAGACTTAGGAGGATCCCAGACTTGCATTAAGCGAGAGAGAGAGAGATTGTGTTCATTGTGCTCTTGGAGTAAAAGAATGAAATAATGTAGTCATTTTCTGAATTTTACAAATGAGGTATTATTCATTATTTTGTGCATACAATCTACGAACATTAAGGTTCAGATCAATTGTGGAGTATATGATCATTTGGATACATTCATGGAAAATATGACATATATAGGTTCTCAAGATTAATGAATTAGTTCATAACTATTAAATAAAGTTGGTCGTTTTATTTAGGCTGCAATATCTTATGAAATGGTTCTGTCCGAATCATTATAAAATATTGGTGTGAATTAACATTCACATTGAAAGGATCAAGGAGAGATTTGATTAAGGTTGTTTTTCTGTCATAAGATATCAAATCTCTAGTTAACTATAATTATGTGATTGATCTTAATCTTGAGTTTATTATAAATAGGTAATTGAATAATTTTCGTTGTTTGATTTACCAACGGGTGAAGTTTGATCTATTGACGGCTAATAACTCGATATTTTGGGAGTGAAATTATTTGATTATCGATATTTATGAGATAAATAGCATGAAATTTGTAGGATATATCCCCTTGATATGTTTCGATACTTGGATGTTGAAGACATTGGCCAGTGCATGTAATCCATTAGGAAAACTATCATAGTCAAGAGAATAAATAATTGATAAAGTAACAGAAAACTCATCAATCAATTATTGACATTCTACAAAGGGTCAATGCATATTCATGTTATGTGTTATAATTTTGGAGTTCAAGTTTGGGCTTTTAGTGGAGTAAAATCAAATTAGACAATCATTTGTTGATTATCAGGACCCTTGATTAATATCAGATAGTAGATTCCCAGGCTAGCTTGAGACAAGGGATAAGGTGGCTTTTAGTTAATGATGACTCGTGGGTTATATAGTCTTGGGTTTTGGACTCAAGTTTCTTCCCAAAAAAGCAAGTGAAAGATTGTTGGGTTTATACTCTTTTACTTAAGCCCAATTAGCTAAGAGTATGAGAAGAGCGCAAGAAGCCTAGAGCCCAAAGAGCTTAGGGATAGAGTTTCTTGGTACTCATATAAATATTATCACTTAAGTCATCAGCCTCCAAGGTCATTGAACAAAAGAAGCAAGCTCAGATTTGAAAAAGTGCCCACGCACTTCCCATTTTCTCTCAGGAGATAGATTGAAAGGTTTACCAAAATATAGATATATATATTTGTTTGTGCTGCGACGTAGAAGAGATCGGTTCATGAATTCGTACTGTGACACAGAGGACACCGATTCGTGGAGCATCATCAACGATCTCCGCTACAAGAGGTAATCAGAAAAAAATGATGATCTGTTGCATCCCAAACCGCAACGGTCTAAATCGCTTCCACAGATCCAATTTTGCCTACATAAACATACTTTGAAAACCTTTTTTTAACACTTTTTTTGTTAATAGGTGAGTTTTATCTGAGTCCCCATTTCATAAAAAATGAGTCTAGATTATTTAGTGAGACTCTCATCAAATTTACCAATAATATATATAATTCAAATAGGATTTAAATAGTATAGTTAAAAAGAAAAATTGAAATTACAAAAGATTTTCAAATTAGTTCGAATTAAAAGATTAAAAAAAAAAGTTGAGAGTGACAGGCCTCATTATTTGTGAAAAAATACATTAAAAGATAAAGTTACTCAAGAGAGTAAGCTTTAGATTATTATATAACGACAGATAATATATAAAACTTAGTAAATAGTTTGTGTATTGTACGAATATTTTTAGGTTCATGTAAATTTTAAAAAATATAAACTAAGAGAAAATAATATTTAAAAGAAAAAAATAAATTTCAATATATATGCATAATTAATTTAGGTAAAATTTAATAATTATAGATTAAAAGATAAAAATATTTAAAATTATGTGTGTATAATAAATTCAAAAGATTTAAATTTAAAATTTAAAAGAAGATAGGTCAAGAATAATATTATCATTTTCAAGGAAAATTAGACCAGAATATCAAACTATTTTCAAGAGATTATACTTAATTGAATATATAGCGATGGATATCTAGATTTTTAAATTTTTTAATAGGATAAAAAAATATTAAAATCAAGCTGATCTTGTTTTTACTTTACGTCAATGTTAAAAAGATTCAAACTCAGATTAGGTAAACTTAATTTGTTTATAGCCAATAGAAACAAAATAAACAACAATGTAATTGACCCATATGAATATCAAATAGCATAAATGAAAGGTCTTGAATTGGTTTGGGTCCCAGACAGGTCATCTAAGTATGACATTAACGTGAACGACACATGCAACATTTCTTTTTTTAAATTTATCTATTACCAAAAATAAAGAAAAAACGAAGTAATAATGATAAATATATTCCTTCTAACATCCTCTAATTACCATAAACATTAAAGCGTTAAAATAGATAGAAATATTTAACAATTTTAGAATTACTGGCGTAATAGGTATCCAATTAACGTGAAGTTGACTAAAACTGTCTTGTCGCTGTTCCCTGTAATATATATTTTGCTTACGTTAAGGTTAATGACGTGTCGGCTTTGGTTTGCCATGTGTAATTAAGAGCCAACGAGATGGAACCTCGACCAGTGTGAAAACCAAACAATCATAATTAACTAAATCCTAATTATTCAATTTTTTTGAGCTGATTATAAAAATATAATATTTTTTATTTTTTAAGTTGTTTATAGATATTATTTTCGATCTAAATTTTACGATATCCGTTTTAATTTCTAGCAAATAAAAAGGGAGTCTTTTTTTGAATTTATGAGGGATCACGATTTCAACTAAATGAGTCCATTTTGAATTTCTTAGAGATGAAGAATAGTCTTTTTATTTACTAGAAACTAAAATAGGTATCGTAAAATTTGAGCATGATAAAAAAAAATATTTACTCTAGAATTAATTCAAAATACGAGAAAGATCAAGATGAAGGTATTTCAAGTCATATCCCAAAAATAATATGCGTGGATAAAATGAAAACTCTTTTCTTGTCACTTCCCTTAACACCATTTGGTATATTTCGTTTTTTTTAAGTATAAATACGACCCCTTTTTATTCATCGTTCAATGAAGTCAACAAGTGTTGCACTCGGAAACACCATACACAACAAAGTCACAGAGCGAAAGCAAGAGGCGGAGTGAGAGTTATGGCAAGCCTGATGCAGCAAGAAAGTGATGCAACAATCTCATCGACGATTGGAGGTAGCAACCGCATCATAGCCGTCAACGTGATCCCTTCTAACAACCCTCCTCCACCGTCTGATTCCGATGGCTCCTCAAAAATCGAGGTCCTTCTCCCTTTTACAATTTCCCATCCAAGTTCTGAACTGTTATATATGTCTACGTATATATATATACATATATAAAAACTTGATGCAATGAAACAGAAACCTGGGTGGAAAAAGTTCCTGTCACATGTGGGTCCTGGTATGCTCGTTTCAATGGCTTACATAGATGGTGGAAGCTGTAAGTCTCTCTCTCTTTGGGTCTCCTTTTTTTTTTATTTTTTTATTTATCTTCTATGTCTTTGTGTTTACTTACTAGTTGTTTTGCTATTTTGGCAGTGGAAACTGATCTGAAAGCTGGAGCTAACTATGGATATGAGGTATAACAATTAAGCAACAAAGCTATATATTTTGATAGGATATTATATCTATATTTTTTTTATGTTTACTCTACTTACTCCTCTTCAACACCCTTAAATTGCAATCTCAAGAGTAGAGAGAAAGGATTAAACTAAGTTGAGATTGTGAACTAACAATATCAAAAAGGAGTATATAAAAAAGGTATGAAAAAATATAGGCATAATATCAAATCCTTATTTTGATTAAAGTTTTTGTTGGATTCAATATAATATATAACATTATGTTGCTGCTGAATTCAGATGCTGTGGTTGGTACTTCTTGGAATGATATTTGCGCTTGTAATTCAATCATTGGCTGCAAATCTTGGCGTAACCACTGGTAAGATCCTAAACTAACACCAGTTCATGTGTAATATGTAACATTTTCTATCTAAGATGTTGTACAAAAAATAAAACCATTGATGTGAGGGATGGTTGTGATTAAATTATATGTTTAGGTTTATGAGAGATACTTTCTCTTTGAGAATATTATTATTGTTATTTGAATTTTGCAGGAAAACACCTTGCAGAAATATGTAAAGCTGAGTATCCATTATTTGTCAAGTACTGTTTATGGTTATTGGCCGAGCTTGCTGTCATAGCTGCAGACATACCTGATGGTATTAAAAAAAAAAAATCTATTTTTCCATAGCCTCGTTTTTTCCCTTTCAAACAAAAAATCATTCAATTAATTAAACAGTAAGATATATACCCTTTGTATTCCTATTTAGACTTCTATAATCATTAATTAATTTTATCCAAACTTTATTGTTGCAGTGCTTGCCACAGCCATTGCGTTGAATCTACTTTTCAACGCCATTCCATTATGGGCAGGAGTTCTGCTGACTGGCGGTAGCACTCTCTTTTTTCTTGGACTTCAGAGATATGGGGTAATTTACCTTTTTGTAATAATTATGAAACATGAACAATATAAAATATCTCATTTAGGTTATTAAAATCTAGTAATTAGATCTAATTTCCTTTTAATCATTTATCTCCTTTCGTTTTTTTTTTTTTAAGGTATGTCAGTTTGAAATAGTCAAGGATTATGATTAAACACAATACTATCTCTTAGCCACAAAAATGGACAAGGATACTCTAGTATTCCTGCAACTTGTGCAGTTTAGAACAATGAGGGAAAAAAGTGGATTTCATTATTTAAAAGTTTTACAGTTTTTTAAATCTTGTGTCTATATTTTCTCAATTGCATTGTAGTTGAACCCTAGACAGATAGAACGGACGAGCGACATGCAGAAGTCTTGGTCCTCCAACCATGGTTTCATTTCCTGCTATAATAAAATTTGTAAAGGAATGATATTCATACTCCCTCATTTTTCCACTACATCTACTACTATCCATAATTATGTACTCTGGAAGAATACATAATTATAATATTAAAGTTTATTTTTTTTCTTTTCAAACACATTTCAGAACTTGTTAGTTGATGTAAAAAAAAATAACTTTAATATTTTAACTATGTACTCTCTCGAGTACATAGTTATAACGGATGGTAGTAAATGATAATGGAAAAATGAGGTAGTATGAATATCTCCCATCAAATTTTTATTCTAAAAGTAAGGAACATGCATAGGTAAAAAGAAAAAAAAATTAAACATGAAGTTTCAATAAATTCACATCAATGAAAACGGGAAAAAAATTAGTGTAAACTTTGATTCAAAAGACTTATTGGAGGATTTAAAAACTATGGTACAAATTAATATTTCATTTCTTTGTTGAAAAATTTCATTCTAAGTCAATCATAAATAAAATTTATGATATGAAATAGCATTGTGCTTACTTCGATAAATATATGATACATTCAATATTTAAATAAGGTTTTTTATTTTCATATCTTGTAAGATTTTGGTATTCTAAGTAGTCGATTTCGGAATCCGACCGACAGTTCCTAGAGAATACAAATTCACTAGAAATCTTTTCACTCTGCCTTTATGGTTATTTATTTGTTTGTTTCCGCAGATAAGGAAGCTGGAATTGGCCATAGCTATCTCAATTTTGTTATTGGCTGCGTGTTTCTTTGCGGAAATGAGCTATGCGAAAGTCAGTACTTCTGATGTATTAAAGGGAATGTTTGTGCCCAAACTCAGTGGTAACGGAGCCACAGGCAATGCTATTGCCCTTTTGGGTGCCCTTATCATGCCGTACTCTTCCACCTTATTCCTTTAACTTCATTTGTTGATGCCAATTAGTTTGTGTCTTTACTTATTTTGGTTTTTCCTCCATGATTTTTTTTTTTTTTTAAATGTGAGATACTCATCCATAAATTTAGAATATTCAATTCGAGTACTCTAATCTAATTAATAAAGTCTCAACACTTTATCGATTTTTACGAAATAAATGTTATATTCACTAGTAAATTAATGAAATGTCAATACTTTATTGGCAAAATGCACACAAGTAAATTATGTTTACATAGCATTTTTTTTTAAGTATAGCTTGTTTAATATTTACTAACTAATATTTTGCTTTTGACAAAATGCAGGCATAACCTTTTCCTTCACTCTGGCCTTGTGCTGTCTAGAAAAGTATCCAATTCCGCGAATGGTGTCAAGGTAAGCTGTGCCATTATCACATAATACGTGCCAAATTTTGAGTTTGAAAAGAACATATTTAAGAGGAAACAACTTATATATGTAGATGTGCCTAGTTGCCACATTATGTGTGGTTAGCAATGGTTGATCTTTGTACTAGCTTTATACGATTGAGGTGTGAATAATTTATAGGCTTATTATATGAATAATGTTTTTTAGAATTTGAAATATGGATAACTGAAATTTATTTATTAAAAGTATGGGACGAAAAGAATTGAATTCTAGATCTCTCAAGCATGTATAAAAGCTCTTATATCAAGTAAAATATTTAATTCATCTCAAGAATTTAATCAATTAAATAATACATATATTTATATCGGATATTATTTTTCTTAAGTTACATAAGACAGAAATTATTTCATGCATACACAAAGTGTAATGTGGGTCTCACTAAATAGAGAAGAGAGAAAAATACAAAATATAAAGTAGGACCCATATTGTACTTTGTGTGTGCATGAAAGAATTTATTTATCATGTAACATAAGAAAAATAATATCCATTTATATAATTCCTTTAACATGCAAACTAATATTATATGACGTATATGCTTGATTATGCAGGAAGCACGTACATACTTTCTCATAGAGAGTGGGTTTGCACTATTTGTGGCATTCTTAATACAAGTTGCAATGGTTTCTGTGCCGGCTGCTGTTTGCTCCGGTAGCAACCTTTCTGGAGAAGATAGTGATAATTGCAATAATATTACCCTTAAATCTGCTTCTTTCCTTCTCAAGGTTCTTAATTTAATTCATTACATAAATTGCTATAATCCAATCATAATAAGTTTATGGTTTCCATTTTTCTTATGTTGCTAGAAAAAAGTTATCTCGAGCAACCGATTATAATTATGTATTAAGGATAGTACATAGTTATAATGATAAAATTATTTTTTCGCTCTTCGCCACGTCAGCTAATAATGTCTGAGGAGAGAAAAAATAGTTTTAATATTATAATTATATATTATCCATAGTGCATAGTTATTTATTTTTTTTGCAAGAAAACTTTTCTTTTCCATAAACATAAGAAAAGGATTTTCGTTTAGGGGGCGTTTGGTAGAGAATAAATTTTTTTATGCCCAAAAATCATGATTTCCAGAAATATAGTGGAAAAGTCACTTTTATGGGAATGTTATAAAAAAGTTGTTTTGTAGGCCAAAATATTATTGAGATTTTGTTCCAAAAAAAAGTGTTAAATTTTCCCAATACTTGGAATTCCAAGAATACCACCCATTTGGTGGTGTTCTTGGATGGCATTTTGGGGAAAAAATGTATACAAAATAAAATCTCAGAAAAATCAGATTCTCACTAAAATTTTTAGAAACTTTATATCAAATGTGAGTAAATAAGATTACCACTATCACTTTCGCAGGAATCTTAAAAAATTTCCCGTGCCAAACACCCCTTTAAGTTTATTGTCATAATCAAGCATCAATTTAATTAGCGTGAAATTTGATGCCCTTTCCTTGTAGAGTGTGTTGGGACGGTCGAGCAAGACCATTTATGCCATAGCACTGCTAGCTTCAGGACTAAGCTCTACTATCACCGGAACCTGTGCAGGGCAATACATCATGCAGGTTTTTTTCTTTTCTTTTTTTCTTAAATCATTAAATGTTATTTTGTTTTTTAAATAACTGATAGATTTTGTAGAAGGAATTGCTAAATGTGACTTGTTGTTCGGTTAATTGGTCATAAAGGGTTTCTTGGACTTAAAGATGAAAGGCTGGATTAAGAACATGGTGACTAGGGGTATTGCCATAATACCTAGTCTTGTTGTCTCCATCATTGGTGGTCCTTCTGGGTCTGGTCAACTTATCATCATTGCATCGGTGAGTATGTTCTAGATTGTGTCATTCTTTTCTTCTTTTTCATAAATTAAACCCATCTATATTTTTAAATTATAATGCAACTAACTAAAATTGTTTTGCAGATGGTCCTTTCTTTTGAGCTTCCATTCACTTTAATTCCACTCCTTAAGTTTAGTAATAGCAGTGCCAAGATGGGAACTCAAAAGAATTCTATGATTGTGAGTTGTCTTCTTTCTTAGTTTTTATACACACACACAAATGTCACTTTAATATTGGTTAAAGGAATGGTAAAACCTAAAGCAAGATTATATGTGTTAGAGATATATAAAACCATTAATGTAACTTTATCCAACAACTTGAGCTTTTGAGTTGAATTGGTTCTTTACATGGTATCAGAGCCTATTGTGAAATTTCTTAGCATGGTTAAGCTGGGCCTAATGCATCATCAACCTTTCAAGCCTAATGGACTCACTTATGAGGGGACATGTTAGAGATGTATAAAACTATTAATGTAATCTCACCCAACAACTTAAGCTTTTGGATTGAATTGGTTCTTTACAATATGTATTATTCTATTATTTTTGTGCAGGTTATTATCATCTCATGGATATTAAGTGCGGGGATGTTCGCTATCAATATGTACTTCCTCAGCACTGCTTTCGTGGGTTGGCTAATTCATAGTAGTCTACCAAAGGTGGCAAACGTGTTAATTGGGATCGTAGTATTTCCTTTCATGGCAATCTATGTTATTTCAATTATCTACCTAACCTTCAGGAAAGACACTGTAGAAACATATAAGGAGAGGAAGAATGACTTAGCAATGCAAGACCATGTAGAAAGCGGAATTCAAAATGCTGGTCAGTTAGAGTTGAACCAAGCTCCTTATAGAGAAGATTTAGCTGATATCCCATTTCCCGAACGTAGGACTTAGGCAATGAATGAAATGGATCACCTTACAAGAAAGGGTTTGTCCACAAAAAGGAAAGTTAACATTGCTTTTAAGCCATTTTATTGAGCAATGAGCATATGATGATCGATGATTTTCAAAGTGATTGGTGTTGAAAGTGATCATCTATATTGTATAACTGTGTAACATTATTGATTATGTTCACTATGACATCATATGTAAGAGTTCACAAAAAAATGTGCAAATATATGTATATATAATAAAGTGACGTTTTCTTTATGACAAGTAACAAAATTTGTTTACTATATAGAAAACTAAACATGAATATCTTGTCTTAAAAAATAACAATATGTTGAAGAGGTGATTTGTAAGAACCCGCACCGGTAATTAAGGAAGTTAATTAATTAATTATGTTAAATTAAAAAATAATTCCATAATTGATCCTAATAATTATTATGAGACTTTAATAATTATAGTAGGTGAGTAATAATGTTGAAAGTCGCTTTTCTGAGGAAAAATGCAGATACTGGTTCTGCTACTCGGTATAAATGCGTACCGATGAAGTATCCCAGAAAATTATAATAAGTGCATGAATATTCCTGGAATATTATATAGGACTAGGAAATCAAGTTTCAGGTCAAAATAACCAGAACTGATACTGGCTATGGAAAAGCGCGTACCGGAAAAGTGCTGCGAAAAATAAAATAAAAAGATGACAAATCTTAGAAAAATGATTAGTTTCAGATTCCAAAGTTTGGGATTAAAATGATAAACGTAACTATTAGTGCTAATACTGTGTGATTAACTTTAAACCGGCTATAAATAGCCACTTACACACAACCCTAGGCTGATCCTCCAGCCTTATGCGTGAGTTTTGTGTGTGCTGAGCAGCCTCCATTGTTTCATGGCTCCTCTTCACCATTTGGAGGGCAAGTTGTCACCTTTCCTTCTACTCTCTTCATCAAAACCTCTTGTGAGTGTGTGAGCTATCATTGTGAGTGGGTAGAGTACACCATTGCTGAGTTTTGGTTGCTGTCTTGTGGGTGTGAGGGGGCTGAGTGTTTGAGTTTGGGTTGTGGGGGTCATCTTCTTGGCTTGTGGAGCTTCAAGAAGCTTTCTTTGTGAAGAAAGGACCAAGCTTGGTTGGCATTTTCGTTTCCCTTGCTAGTCAGATTGTAGGAGCTGAAGTGAGAGCTCCAAGAGCACCTTCTTGCTCTGTTTTAAGCTTGGGTAAGTGTTACCACCTTTCATCATGTGTTAATGGATAAAAGTGGAGTCTTGCCATGTTTAATGAGTTAAATAAGTAACCAACTGATATATGAACTTAAAAGAGGATAAAAATGCATGCTTTAACGTTGGAATGGGTTAAAAACCCAACCTTGGGTGTGATATCTCGCGAAATGCAGAAACTGCATTCTGTCGCAAAATATCCGGATATTGATATCCGGATATGGGGCCTCGTGATATCCGGATATGGGGTTCTGTGATATCCGGATATTGATATCCAGATATTCCCCCCGACACATATCCGGATATTCTGGGTTTTCGAAGAAGAGTAGCTTACTGTTCATACAGAACTGATCTATGGGCTTGTGGACCCTAGATTGATGAAGTTGAACTTCTGTAATGACTAAGTTAAGTCAGAATCAAGGGATTAAGGACTTGTGGCTTTGTGAGAAGCCTTAAGACGTAAAACGTAAAACGTAAAAGAGAAACATTGTCTTTATGTTTATGCTTATGAGCTATGTTTATTGATATGATTGCTGGTCCAAATCAGATTGTGATTCTGCTGTGTTTGGACTTTGAGCATTGGTTGGACTCTTGGCTTGGATTGTTAGCTTGCAAGGTAAGCTTTCGTGTCCTCGGTTTAGCCATTGTTGGTTCCACCATTTCCCATGGGGGGATGGTTGTATGCATGATGTGTTTTCATGTACTGTTTTATGGAAATGCTAATGAGCTGTTAAATGTAATTGCTTATGATATGTTTGTGGTGTTACGCCTACAGGAGGCCAAGAGGTGGTCCTGTGGGTGGGTGCAAAATGCTAGTACCGTGTGGGTTTAGATGGATTCCTACACTTCTCTGATCAGTAGAATAGTTATAACACACATGACATGATTATATGCTGCATTGCACTATTTTGAGAACTTATACTGTTAAACTGCCTTTTGAAGTTATATTGCACATGTAAGTGAGCTTGGGGTGGAAGATCCTTAAGGACCCCTTGTCTTACTGAGATTTCTTGTTCAGAAATATCACCCCACGTTTGGGGACGCTTATTTCAGGTTCAGGTAACTCGGGGGTTGAGACCTCGGGCGGCAGGAGGCCGGAGCTGAGTTAGATTATGTTGTTATCATGTTATTATGTTGTATGCTGACATGATGTGGACTTGGTTGCTGTTTGTGTTTTCTGTCATTTATGATTAGTGAGTTGAGACTGTTGTTGGGCTTGTGCCTTAATTAGTGAGCATGGGGTTTGTCCATGCCACTTTGATTTCCGTCTTGTTTAGGTTTATATGTGTTGTATAAACTATCAGGTTGTCCGGTCTACGTGTTGTAGTTCTGTGACTAGAGACATATTTATGATATTAATTAATGAGGTATTTCAGTTAGCTGTCTTTTGCAATATTCTTACAGGCGATGTTTTATGAAAATGATTAAGTAATCAACTTGGCTAAGTATAATGACGTCATAATTGAAAAGAAAAAGATATTCTGCATTTTTAAATTAAGCATGGCTTAATACGATGACATGTTAACAAACCGGGTTAACAGGGGGTGTTACATGGTTAAAAACAGGCTGGTCTTAGGACTCAACCTATTTGACCTTCGATTTGTGTGAGCTAGAAAGTATTCATATACAAGTATGATTAAATGATCCCAACTTTGACTAATTTATCAGTATTTTTGGTTAAAAAAATTATTATGCTTTATAGTTTTATACGATTTGGATTTTGGTAATTAATATATTTTTAATATTGTCCCTAAAGATAAGAAATTATAAAGATAAATATTTAATGTAAAAGGGCATTAATATTTTGACCAGTAAAAACTATAATGATTAAAACCTAATTAGGTGAAAAACATAAAGATTAATATTTTAACGATATAGAATGGAATTATAAAGAATAATATCTTAGAAAGAATTGACTTTTCTAAAGTTGGGGATGTATTGAAGGGAAAATATAGTTATAATTTTCAATTGAAAAATTAATGACTGAAATTGTGGAAAGAGTGTATGTATATTATTAAAGATATATAAAATTATTAATGTAGTCTCACTCAATAACTCTAACATGACCTTTATCTTCATATTCAAGTTCATTTCCTGGATATGCCTAGATATACTTGAGAATACGAATGATGACATTCCAATGTTTTTGACATGGAGAATTAAGAAACTGACTTACCACACTAACTGCAAATGAAATGTCAAGTTGAGTGATTGTGAGGTAGTTCCATTTTCCAACCAATATTCTATACCTTTGAGGATTTGAAAAGGGCTTCCCTTTATTTGGTAGAAGCTTGACACTTCGATCCATAAGGGTATCAACAGACTTAGAATTTAACAAAGTAGTCTCTTAAGAATATCCATAGCATATTTTTCCTGAGATATCATAATACCATGTTTAGATTGTGCCACCTCGATTCCCAAGAAGTTTTCCAAGATCCTTGGTCTGAAACTTATGACATAAATGTTGTTTTAACTGAGTAATCCTATGATTATTATTACATGTGATGACAATATCATTCACATACACCACCAAGTAGATAGACCTGAAAGATAAATGACGATAAAAGAGATAATGATTAGCCTCACTCTTAATCATACTGAATTGTTGAACAACACTACTAAATTTGTCAAACCAAGCTCGTGTAGATTGCTTGAGAACATATAGAGACTTGCGGAGATGACAAACAAGACCTGACTCCCCCTGAGCAACAAAGCTAGGAGGTTGCTTCATATAAACTTCCTTCGCAAGATCACCATGAAGAAAAACATTCTTAATATCAAGTTGATAAAGAGGCCAGTGGCGGATAGCAGACATGGTAATAAAGAGGCAGACAGAAGACATCTTCACATCTTCACTACAGGAGGAAAATGTGTCACCATAATCCAGTCCAAATACATTAATGAAACCCTTTGCCACCAAGCGGGCTTTAAGGCGATCCACTTGACCATCGGGATCAACCTTAACAACATAAATCCAACGGCAGCCGACAATAAATTTCCAAAACGAAAGAGGGACCAGATTCTAGGTGCCATTATGATGAAGAGTACTCATTTCATCAATCATAGCCTGTTTTCATCCGGAACGTGAAAGTGTTTCACATGTAGTCTTAGGAATAGACATATTAGGAATAGACACAGAAGACAAAAAAGAAAGACATGCATAATATGATAGAGAAAGACGATGGTAACCAATATTAATTGTATACTTGGCCGTAGGGTGAGTATTACGGGTACCTTTACGAAGAGCAATAGAAAGGTCATTAGCCGAATGTGAAACCGAAGTTAAGGGAGGAAATATAGTCGGATGTGAGCCCATAAAAACATCTGGAGCAACAAGTTGTAACTCTTATATATATAGTAATTTTTGAAAATGTTGAATATTTTTTAATAGGGAAGGAATCGAATTACATGGATATAAAAGTTAACATTGTTACAAAATTTAATAATTTTATATAGAATGTGATTTTTATCAAATCAAACAATTAAATTATATTATCTATTACTTTGATTGTTGGTGTCAAATCTTATAAAAATTGAACATCAATAAGAACAGAATAATATTATTTTTATTTTCATATATTTTAAAAGTATATATTACGTTAAACTTGATGTCTAGTAATAAAGTATCGAATAATTTTGTGTTAAAATAGTACTTTTTAAATATGATATATATGATAGCGACTTTTTTTACTAGATAGTGGGGTCTAACCCCCGATAGTGACTTTGAAAATTGTTGGGTATGACTGATACTTTGCATGTTGATGAAGGTCCTAGTTGTCGGGATCAACAGAAAG